CCCCGGCACCCCCCGCCCCCGGGGGTGCCCCCGGCCCAGCCCCGCGGAAGAAAGAGGCTCTTTGAGAGCCCCCCCGGCCGGGGCGGCGCCAGCTGGGGCAGAGGAAAGCGCGGGGGCCCCGCGGAACAAGGGGAGCCATTGATGGAGCGGGACAGGGGCCGGCACCGCGGGCCCGGGCTGGGGGTCCCTGCGCCCCCCCCCGCCGTGGGGAGGGGGCACAGACAGGGCACAGCCCCCCCCCCGGCAGCCCGGTGTCACCAATGAGGGGTGCGGGGTTGGGGGGCACCCCCACATCGGCTCAGCCCCTCACCCCTCTGCCCCAATTTTGGGGCGTCTCTTCGTGCCCGCCCCCCTGCCCAGCTCTCCCTTTCGGGGGTCGCTCTGAGCGGAGCCCCCCCAGTGTCCCCAGCCTGGGGGTGGCTGTCCCCCAGCCCCCCTCCCCTTTTAGGGACACAGAGCCCCCCCAGACCCTTCCCATTGGGGGTTCCTGCCCCCTCCCCTTCCTTCCTCCCCCCTCATCCCGGGATGGGGGGGCTGGGACAGGAGGAGGAGGAGGAGGAGGAGGAGGGAGGACGGGCAAGGAGCGGAGCGCAGAACTCGCCGCGAGCAGAGCGGGATCGGCCAGGACGAGAGCGGGATCGGGGAGGAGGAATTCCCACCATCGCCCAGCCGGGACCCCCCCCCGCCACCCCGAGCCCCCCGAGAGCGACGCAGAGCAGCCCGAGGTTGGTTGGATCATTTCACATGCCTTTATTTCAGCAGTCAGAGAAAAAAAAAAAAAATATCCATTTCGAAAAAAAAAAAAAATTAGAAAAGAAGAAAACCCCCAAACCGCTTAAAAATTATTAATTACTTAATTAATTAATAATTATTATTATACATCATACAAAGTAGGTACAAAACCCGGGGAAAAGCCAGAGCTGGGCCCGGCAAAGGAGGGAGTGGGTTCGTGGCCCTCCGAGCCCGGGGAGGATGCGGGGATGGAGGAGGGATGGAAGGATGGATGATGGGTGGGTGGATGGATGGATGGATGGATGGAGAAAAAGCTGCTGGAAGATGAGAGCGGAGCTGAAGTTCCACCTGCTCCACCTGGAAAATCGATTTATTCCTTTTCCCCTTGGGGTTTGATGCCTCTTGCTTTGCTGGATTTGCTGGTGGGGTGGTGAGGTGGGGGCAGGGGGGGAGTAGCACCTTTGGAAAATTCCCCAGTGGAGCTGAGCAGCAAAAAAAAAAAGGAGGGAAATAAAGCAAAAAGTGGAGGGGGATTAAAACAGAGCAAGCTGAGCCCTCTTTGGAGGTTGTAGCACCAGGCGGTCCCGGGGTTGGGTGTTCCGGGGCCAAAATTAAAGAGAATATTTAAAAATAATAATTAAAAAAAAATCCCAAAAAACCAGGATAAAAATCCTGAGGGAAAGAAACCTCCAAAGGAAAATGAAAATAAGAGAACAACTGAGCAAACAAAGAGAAGAAAAAAAGGGTGGGATACGAGGGGGGGAAATTAGCACCTTTGCTCTGAACCTGGCAGGAAAGTCCCGGCACGGCTGAAAAGCTCCAGAAGAAGCTAAAAAACAAAAAGAACCCCAAAATTCAGACTCAAAAAGACGATGAAACACCCCGAGAGTGGTGAGGTAGCCATCCGGACAGGGCCGTCAGCGCAGGGCCGGAGCTGCTCCGCGGCTTGGGAGTGAATTGGTTTTGCTGCCTGAATGAAAATAAAATGAACAACAAACAACGAGAAAAACAAAACAAAACCAAAAAAAAACAAAAAAAAACCACGATAAAAAAATAACCAGAACAAAAGGAAACTGAGAGAACTCAAAATCTGCATTATCCAAATAAAAAATAAGGAGAGGGGAGAGAAAGAGGGAGAACAAGGGAGAAAAAGCAAATTATAGCCAGAAGTTCAACATCTTCCTCACAGCAAAAATTAAAATTCTAATGAGATGCAAGAAGCGAAGGGGCTGGTGGGGAGGGGGCCTGGGGGTCCCGGGGGGCTCGGGGACCCTCTGGGGAGCTGAGCTGAGCTTTGGCATCTCCGGGGCTGAGGAATGAGGGGGGGCAAGCAAGCGAACCCACTTCCTGGTGATTTTGTTTGAAAAAGTCATTTATTTGGTTTTTTTAATATTTTTGGGGGGGTTGAATGTTTTGGGTTTTTTTGGGGGGGAAGGTTTTTGAGGTTTTTCTCTTACGGCAACGCAACCGGAGTTGTTTAAGAGACGCTGGATAGAAACCGACACAAATTCAAGTCCATGTGAAATTTTCTCCTTTTTTTTTTTTTTTTGGCAGGTTTTTTTTTTGGTGTTTTTTTTTTTTTATTATTATTATTTTTATCATTATTATTACTCTCTCCTGTCACGCGTGGGGCATCATCCGGGGTTACAAGAAGCAGACGGGGCCGATGTCGATGCCGAATTCCTGGTCCGGAGCGCCGACGTCCATAGGAGCCAAATCGATGATGGGCAGGCGCGAGGTCTTCGTCGTCTTGTACTCGATCACTGTCTTGCCCCAGGCGCCCGTGTGACTCTGTGGGGACAGAACCGTCACCCCCCGTCCCCAGCGGGTCCCCAAAGCCACCGCCACGCCCGCCACGCACCGTGCAGCCGTCCTCGGTGACGCCGTAGGTGAAGCGGCTGTTGCCCTCGGCGCGGATCTCGATCTCGTTGGCGCCCTGCAGCAGCAGAGCCTTCTTCAGGTTGCCGCTGGCCTGGTCCATGTAGGCCACGCTGTTCTTGCAGTGGTAGGTGACGTTCTGGGCCGCCTCGGTGGCCATGAGGCGCAGGAAGGTCAGCTGGATGGCCACGTCCGCCGGGTCCGAGCCCTCGCCGCCGTACTCGAACTGCGCCGGGGGCACCGGGGACGTCGGTCAGCGCCCAGCCGCCGCCGCTCCCCCGGCCCCTCGTCCCCGCCCGGCGGCCCCCGCGCCCACCTGGAAGCCGTCGCTCATGGACTCGCCGAACCAGATGTGTTTCTTCTCCTTGGGGTTCTTGCTGAGGTACCAGTTCTTGCGGGCGATGGACGCCTGCGTCGGGTACACGCACGTCTCGCCCGTCTCCATGTTGCAGAAGACCTTGATGGCGTCCAGGTTGCAGCCTTGGTTGGGGTCGATCCAGTACTCGCCTGAGGGGACAGGGACAGGGACAGGGACAGGTCAGGCACAGGGTCAGGGACAGGGGCAGGGACAGGGACAGGTCAGGGTCAGGGTCAGGAGAAGGGAGGGAGAGTGTGGGGAGGGACAGCCAGGGGGATGGGAGAGGTCAGGGATGGGACAGGGACAGGGATGGGACAGGGACAGGGACAGGGACAGGGACAGGGACAGGGATGGGACAGGGACAGGGACAGGTCAGGGACAGGGACAGGTCAGGGACAGGGTCAGGGATGGGACAGGGACAGGGTCGGGAGAAGGGAGGGAGGGTGTGGGGAGGGACAGCCAGGAGGGATGAAGGATGAAGGTGAGGAACAGCCCCAGAATGGAGCTGAGGAGCAGCCAGAGAGATGGAACAGGTGAGGAGCAGAGAGGGGGATGGAACAGGTGAGGAACAGCCAGAGAGATGGAACAGGTGAGGAGCAGCCAGGGGCATGGAACAGGTGAGGAGCAGCCCGGGGATGGAGGTAAGGAGAATCCAGGAGGGAACGGGTGAGGAAGAGCCAGCAGGGATGAAGGATGAGGATGAGGAACAGCCCCAGGGGATGGGGAATGGAGCTGAGGAGCAGAGGATGGAGGGAGGGGTGAGGGACAGGGACTGGGAGATGCAGGATGGGAGAGGCTGAGGATGAAGGGAGGAAGGAGGAATGTGAGGAACAGCCGTGGGAGGTGAGGAAGACCAAGGAGGGAGCTGGGGGCGGAGCGTGGAGCAGAAAAGAGGAAGAAGAAGGGAAGCAAACAGGAGAGAGATGGAGCAGGGAGGATGGAGGGCAGGGCAGGCAGGAGAGACAGCACACACGAGGGGCACCAGCAGGTGGAAGAAGCCCAGAGCTGAGCAGCAGCAGAGAGCACAGAGACGGGGGGGACCGGGGGGACACCGACCGCTCTTCCAGTCGCCGTGGCACATCTTCAGGTCGCGGCAGGTGCGGGCGGGGTTCTTGCGGGTGCCCTCGGGGCTGCGGATGTTCTCGATCTGCTGGCTCAGGCTCTTGAGGGTGGTGTCCACCTCCAGGTCGCGGTCGCGCATCACGTTGGCGTCGTCGGCGCGGTAGTAGCGGCCGCCGTCGTGCGCCTTCTCCTGCGGCGGCTGCGGCAGGAAGCTGAAGTCGAAACCGCCGCTGGGAGGGCCGGGAGGACCGGGGGGCCCGGGGGGGCCGGGGGGACCCTGCGGGAGGAGAGGAGGAGGATGGTGACGGAGGAGCGGGCGCTGAAGGCGGGCGGCTCCGGGAGGGAGGACGGTTCGGGACGTACGACGGGACCGACGTCGCCGGTGCGGCCGCGGGGGCCGGGGGGACCGATGGGACCGGGCAGCCCGTTCAGACCGTCCTTGCCAGCAGCACCAGCGGAGCCGGGGGGACCCTGCGGGGCGGGAGAAAAGCGTCAGCGCGGCCGTGCGGCCCCGGCAGGGCCTCCAGCCCCGAGCCACGACCCCGCGGGGACACCGCTGGCCGCGGGGACCCCCCGCCCCCCCTGCGGTGCCACGGCCGCGGCCGGGTGGCGCAGCTCGTCCCGGGACTCACTCGGGGACCGGCGGGACCGGAAGCACCAGAAGGACCTTGTTCACCAGGAGAGCCCTGTGACAGTCGAGGAGGAAGAAGAGGCGACATCAGAGGTGACATCAGCAGCTCACGCTGCCCCCGGGACGTGTGGCAGTGCCCAAGGCCACTGTCACCCCGCGGGACTTACGGGAGGACCAGGTGGGCCCTGGAGACCGGAGAAGCCTCTGTGACCCTTCATGCCTCTGTCACCCTGTTCACCGGTTTCACCTTTGTCACCACGGGGACCTTGGGGACCCTGCAGAAGGAGGAGGAGGAGGAGGAGGAAGATGAGTTGAGAGGGGTCCTGGCCAGTCACTGTCCCCACGCCTGTGGGGACACAGAGGCACCGAGGAGGGCAGAGCAGAACGTCACTTACAGCAGGACCACGAGCACCAGCAGGACCAGGGGGGCCAGCGGGACCTTGGGGACCCTGGGACAGGAGAGAAGAGGACAGGTTAGAGCATCCTGCACCTCCTGCTGCTGCTGACTTGGGGCAGAACCACCCTGGGATGCTCAGGGACCCCTGAGTGGGGTGGTGGCACCGCTGAGATCGCCCTTTTCAGGGTGGTGGCACCTCTGACACTGCCCTTTGCAGGGTGGTGGCACCCCTGCCCTCCTGGGGGAGCTGCTCCCAGCAGCAGGAGCAGAGCCCGGGGCCAGCCCCAGCCCCAGGGTCCTTCCCGGGTGTCCCCGGGCCGGGGGCTGCGGGGGGCTCCGGGCAGAGCGTCACTTACGGTCTCACCGCGATCTCCGTTCTTGCCAGCAGGACCGACGGGGCCGGGGGCACCGGGGGCACCGGGAGCGCCAGGGGGGCCGGCGGGGCCGGTCTCACCACGATCACCCTGCGAGGAGGAGGAGGAGGGAGAGGAGGAGGAGGAAGAGGAAGAGGAGAGGTCAGTGCGGGCCAGCACACCCCATCGCCCCTCCCGGCCCCCTCAGAGCCCACTCACCTTGGGACCAGCAGCGCCGTCACGGCCGGGAGCACCTTCAGCACCGGGAGCGCCCTGCGGGGAGCAGAGACCCCCGTTAGGGGTGGGGGGGCACGCGGGGGTCTCACAGCCCCCCAGGGGCAGTGCCCATCCGTGCCCGGAGCGGGCGCACCCTCAGCACGGGGCTCCGTGCCCCCAGCCCCGATGGTGGCCGCGGGCTCTCACCTCACGTCCGGCTTCTCCGGGGGGTCCGGCCAGGCCGGGGGGGCCCATGGGGCCGGGGGGGCCGCGCTCGCCGGGGGAGCCGGAGGGACCTTGTTTGCCGGGTTCACCCTGCGGGGGGACACAGCGGGGGCTCGGACACCGCGGGACGGCCACCCCGGGCGGGTGACAGAGCCTGCGGTGACCGGGAGCCCCCCGGTACTCACGGAGGGGCCGGGCAGCCCAGGGAAGCCTCGCTCGCCTCTCTGGCCGGGCAGACCGACCACACCGCGCTGGCCGGCGATACCTTGGGGTCCGGGTGTGCCGGGAGCGCCCTGCGGGGACAAACGGCGCCTCAGCGGGGGCGGCGGCGACCGCCACCCTCCCCACGGAGGGGACAGCGACCAGCAGAGGGGTCCGGCAGGGGGTCACTCACGATGGGGCCGTCAGCGCCGGGGGCTCCCTTCTCTCCGGGGGGGCCGGGGGGGCCGGCGGGGCCCGGCTCTCCGGGGCGGCCAGCGGGGCCGGTCTCACCGCGGGGGCCTTTGCCGCCCTCCTTGCCGCTGGGGCCGGGCGGGCCGGGCAGGCCGATGTTACCCTGAGCGGGGGGAGGCGATGCCGTCAGGCCGGGACCCCCCCGCTGCCAGCTGAAGGGCGGCCAGGGGCGTCCCGGTGCCAAGTGGGACAGGGCGGCCACGGGCAGCACCTGGACGGTGCCCAGAGCCTCCCGTCCCGTGTCCCCAGAGCCTCTTGTCCCCTGTCCCCAGTGCCTCCCGTCCCCTGTCCCCAGCTCCAGCCCCGCAAAATCGCCCCCCCAGGGGTACTCACAGAGGGGCCGGGGGGTCCAACTCTTCCAGCAGCACCAGGGAAACCAGTAGCACCCTGCAAGGGAGGAGAGCTGCGGTCAGCGGGGCTGGATCCGAGGTCCTGGGGACTCCCCTGGCTGGGAGTCACCGCGGGGAACCCCGGGGATGGTGGTCAGAGGGAAAGCCCCCACCTGGGCAATGATTTGGGGGTGTAAAGACAACCCCCCCCTTTTCCCTCTGCTCTGTGCCCTGCTGGGATGAGGCCACCCCACTCCATCCCCAGATGGTTTTGGGGTGCAGGGCCGGAGGTGCCCCGGGGTGTGGGGGGAGCAGGGGCAGACTTAAAGCACCTCGGGGTTGTTCCCACCCGGGGGTGCCCCCCAGACTCCCGCAAGCGCCCCTTCCCCACAAGCCCGGTACTTACAGGGGGTCCAGCGCTGCCGCGAGCACCTTTGGGACCGGGAGCACCAACAGCACCCTGGGCAGGAGGAAGAGGAGGAAGAGGAGGAGGACAGGGGTGAGCTGAGCTGTGAGAGCTGTGAGGCTGCAGCCCGGGCACTGGGGGGGCTGAGGGGGGCACTTACAGCAGGTCCAGGAGCACCAGTGGGGCCAGCGGGGCCGGGGGGACCGGCGTCACCCTTGGCTCCAGCATCCCCAGTTTCACCTTTAGCACCAGGCTGGCCGTCAGCGCCCTGCGGGACACGGGGCCGCCGTCAGCCCGGGGGCTCCGAGCCGCGCTGGGCGGCAGGAGCGGACCCCCGGGCCGGGGGGGGACAGCCCGTCGCACTTACGGGGGGGCCAGCAAATCCAGCAGGACCGGGAGGGCCGGGCTCGCCGCGGTCACCCTGGAGGAGATGGGAGGGAACGGCTCAGACAAGCGGGGCACGGCCACCAGGGCCACCGAGGAGCGGCCACCCGTGGCAGGGCCATCACCGAGGGGGGGGACACTCACGGGAGCACCACGGGCACCAGTGGGACCAGCAGGGCCGGGGGGGCCGGCTTCACCCTGGAAAAGGGGAGGAAAACAGAACAAAGGGATCAGGGCCGGGGCGAGGAGGGGGCGGTGACTGCCTGGACACGTCTGTCCCTGCGGGATGTCCCCACCTTGTCACCAGGAGCACCAGCGGGGCCGGGGGGGCCGATGGGGCCGGTCAGGCCTCGGAGACCGTCCTTGCCAGGAGCGCCATCAGCACCTTTGGGACCGGGGTCACCCTGAGGGAGGGACACAAGGGGGGGTTACGGGGACAGGTCCCTCGGGGGGTTCACCCAGAGACATCCCCAGTTCTTCATCCTCCCTGGGACGGGCTGGCACCATCCTTCTCCTCCTCCTCACAGGAGCAGGGCTCATAGCGAGGGATTGTCCCCAAGGGATGGGGACAGAGGTGACACAGAGCATCCCCTGCTCAGGACGCTGCTGCCCACGGCCTCGGCTCAGGGGAACACCCAGCCCCGAGAGGAAGATGAGGGGGCACGGGGATGGTGGGGAGCAGGTTACCAAGGGGCCAGCAGGGTTCTGGGGACACGAGGGGTTTGGGGACACGTACTCTGTCACCCTTGGCGCCTGGCAGGCCGGCAGCACCACGCTCTCCGGGCATTCCCTGCAGACCGGGGGGCCCCTGGTTCCCGGGGGCTCCGGGAGCACCAGCATCGCCCTGGAACGAGGCAGAGCAGGGATGAGTGAGATCCCGGCTCGGCAAATCCATCCCGGCCTCAGCCCCAGCCCAGCCACGCTCCCAGCTGTGCCCCACCAGCTGGGCACAGCCCCATGCCCAGCCTGGCACCTACCTTAGCACCATCGTTACCGGGAGCACCGTTAGCACCGCGGGGACCTTGGGGACCGGGGGGGCCTTGGACACCGCGCTCTCCAGGGAATCCTCTCTCGCCCTGGGGAGGGAGGCAGGACAGGGCCCAGCCCGTCAGGGCCTGGGGGGCACTTTGGGGTGCCCACTTTGGGGGGAGATGGGGGTTCGGCTTACCCTGGCACCGGCGGGACCGGGGGCTCCGGCATCTCCGGGGACACCCTGAGCAGGAGGGACAGGGTGACAAGTCAGAGGGGAACAGGTGGCACCAGGGATGGGCAGAGGGGACCCTGGGGTGCCCCAGGAGTCCCTCATTCCCCCTGGGCAGGGCTGGGGTTCCCACTGCTGCCCCACTGCATGGAGCACCGGGGGGTGTCCTGGGGGGAGCCCAGCAGCAGCAGCAGCCCCGGTGTGACAGGGACAGGGACGATGGGGAGGGGACAGGAGGGTCCCCAGTGCCCACACTCACCTGCTCACCAGGCTTGCCAGCCTCGCCAGGGGGGCCAGCAGGGCCGGGCAGACCCTGGGGAGGAAGAAGAGGAGCCGTGAGCCACCAGGGAGGGGACAAGGGCAATGTCACCCACGCTGTGGGTGCTCTGTCCCCCTGCCGGGGAGGAGACACCCCTCACCTGGAAGCCAGGAGCACCAGCGGGACCTTGTTCACCTCTTTCTCCAGCGGGACCCTGGGGGACACAGGACAGGCATGGAGAGGGGCAGGGGGCTCCCGAGGCCCTCCTCCTGTGGCCGGGCGTGGCCGTGGGTGGCCGCGGGCCGGGGGATACTCACGGTGGGGCCGGGGGGACCTTGGGCACCGGTTTCACCATCTTTGCCAGCAGGACCCTGGGGAGGAGGGACAGGAGGGTGCTCAGAGCAGCCCCCGCAGGGCTCTGTGCCCCCACCCGAGCCGGGCAGGGTCCGGACACGGCCGCGGGATCCTTCGAAGGCCGGGAGACACCGCGGCCACGTCACCGCTGTCCCCGCTCCAGCGGCGCCGGGAGCCGCCGGGACGGGATCCCAGACACCTCATCCCGCTGCGGGATGGGCCCGGGAGCCTTCCCCGGCTGCCTCAGGCCCTCAGCCCGCATTGCCACCCCATTCCCACCTTGTCCCACCCCATCGCGCTGGCCCGGGCCAGGCAGCCCCTCCCTGCCACCCCACGCTGGGGTAACGCTCCCTGTCACCCTCCCTGCCACCCCGCAGCACGGTGACCCTCTGTGTCACCCTCCCTGCCACCCCGCAGCACGGTGACCCTCTGTGTCACCTCACACCGGGTTCTCCCTCCCTTGTCACCCCCCCGGGCTGTGCGTGTCCCGCCCCACACTCACCACGGCGCCGGGGGGACCGGGAGCTCCTCTCTCGCCGGGTTTGCCGGGCTCGCCCTAAAAAGCAGAGCGGGGTGAGCCCGTGGCCACTCCGGGGACGGGGGACAGGTCCCGGAGGTGTCCCCAGGGAGCAGGGTGGCTCCGGGGAGGGTGGCACTCACCGCAGCACCTTTGGGACCGGGGAATCCCATCACGCCGGCCTGGCCTCGGGCTCCGGGGGGGCCGGGGGGGCCGGGCCGTCCGTCTTGACCAGCGGGACCCTGTCGGGGGGAGCCAGCGCCGCCTTAGCCGGGCCCGTGGCGAGCCAGGGGAGGGCGGAGGGGACAGCAGCGGGGACAACTTACAGGGGGGCCGGTCTTGCCGTCGGGACCGGGGCTCCCGGGGCTTCCAGTCAGACCCTGCGGGGCAGCGGGAGCGGGGTCAGGAGCTCAGCGCTTCCAGGGATGCTCCAGAGAACGGGAGCGTCCTGGAGAGCGGCTCCTCCTCCTCCGGCACAGCGAGCGGGACAGCCCTGCGGTGTCCCGTGCCACCGTGTCACCGCGCCACCGCGCCCGCTCACCTTGGCACCGGGGAGTCCGGGTTCCCCGGGGCGTCCAGCTTCACCAGGAGATCCTTTGGGGCCAACGGGGCCGGGGGAGCCGCGCTCGCCGGGGGGACCCTGGGAAGGGGGAACAGGGGTGACCCAGCTGCGGGACAGCGCCCGGGGACGGGCACAGAGCCGTGTCCCCGCGGGGGGCAGCAGCTGTGACAGGTGACAGCGCTGAGGCCACTTTGTCCCGCAGACGGACGCGGGCACCCACCTTGGGACCAGCGATGCCATCGGCGCCAGGGAAACCGCGGCTGCCAGGAGCGCCCTGAGGGGGACACGGCACGGTCAGTGTGGGGACACCGGGCCACCTCGGGGGGCCGTGTGCCACAGCGGGACACGGCCACCAGTGGGAGCGGCCTGAAGGGGCCGGGGATGTCACCGCGGGGTCCCCAAACACGAGCGAGGCTCAGCCGCTGGACACGGGGGGATGGGAGGAGGGTGGAGGTGGGGACAGGGACGTGTGGGTGGGGACAGGGATATGGCAGTGGGGACAGGGACATGGGGGCGGTGGGTACAGGGACATGGGGGGGGTGGGGACAGGGACATGGCAGTGGGGACAGGGACATGGCGGTGGGGACAGGGACATGGCGTTGGGGACAGGGACATTGGGGCGTTGGGGACAGGGACATGGGCGTGGGGACAGGGACATGGGGGCAGGGGGGCGGTGGGGACGGGGATTGAGAGTGGGTGGGGACAGGGACATGAGGGTGGGGACAGGGACATGGGGGGTGGGTGGGGACAGGGACGCTGCTACTCACACGTTCGCCAGCGGGGCCGGGCAGCCCAGCGGGGCCGGGCTCACCACGGGCTCCTCTCTTGCCTTCTTCTCCAGCGGGGCCGGGGGGACCTTGGACACCAGCGGGACCCTGGGGAAGGACGCGGAGGGATGAAGACCCCCGGGAGGGGCCGGGGCCAGCAGGGGCCGCGCCCCCAGGGCCACATCGGGGGGTCACTCACGGGTTCGCCTTTGGCACCGGTGTCACCCTTGTTGCCTGGAGCACCGGGCTCACCCTGGAGGGAAGAGAAGAGAGAAAAGGTTGAGCGGAGGATGGAGGAGCCCCGAGCCACGCCCGATGAGCCCTCGGAGGGACAAGGGCGCAACATCTGCCACCCCCTGGCCTGGCGGGGACCAGGGGACACATCGGGAGGCTCCTCCAGGGCTGAAACAGCGTCCCGGGGCCAAGGAAGGGCTCGCAGGCCGGGAAGGGGCAGCGCAGCAGCCCCGGGATACTCACGGTGTTGCCCTTGGGGCCGGGGGCGCCGCTGGGACCCTGGGGTCCGGAGGGACCGCGGGCTCCGGGGAAGCCGGGAGCGCCAGCGATGCCGGGAGCGCCCTGCAAGAGGCACGGGAGGCCGTGAGGAAGCGGCTCAGCCCTTCCTGCCGCGGCCGGGGGCGACGCGGGGGACACTCACGGTGGCGCCCTTGGCACCGGGTTGGCCGTCAGCACCGGGGTTGCCCTGCGGAGAGAAGGAGGAAGAGGAGGGTCACGGCGGGGCTGGCAGGACGCGAGGCCGAAGGACAGGGAGCCCTCGGATGTCACTTACAGCAGGACCGGCAGCGCCAGCAGGGCCGGGGGGACCGGGCTCACCGCGAGCACCTTGGGGACCTTCGCTGCCACGAGCTCCCTGGGGACCGGTCTCACCCTGCGGAGGAAGAGGAGCAGGAGGAAGAGCCGTGAGCGCCAGGGCTGCCCTGACCCCCTCAGGGCTGGTTCCACCCGGGCTCCTTCCCGCGGTGGCACAGCCAGGAGAGGTGCCCGGGACACGCTGGGCACGTCCCCACGGGTGCCACTGTCCCAGGCAGCGCCAGCCTGGGCTCTTCGGCCTCGGGGAGCCCTTCCCTGCCCAGCCCACGCTCCCAGCGCCCCCCAGTGCCCCCCAGGCCCTACCTTAGCACCAGCAGCACCGGGGAAGCCGGGGGGACCAGCGGGACCAGTCGGACCCTAAACGGGAGAGGGGCTCGGCTCAGAGGGGGCTCCCGGCCGCGGGGGGACCCCCGGGCAGCAGAGCCCCCCTGGAGCCCGGCCAGGGGTCCCCACGGGGGCAGCCGGGATGGGATCCCCCTCCCGAGGAGGGGCCGGGGGTCGGGGGTACTCACGGGGGGACCGGCAGCGCCGGGAGCACCGTCATTGCCACGAGCGCCCTGGGGGACAGGGGACAGCGTCAGTGACAGCCACGGGTGGCACAGATGACCTCCAGAGCCCCGTGCCCGGGCAGGGGTCGCAGCCCTGCCCATCCCAAATACTCACAGCGGGGCCAGATGGGCCGGGACGGCCTCGCTCACCGGGAAGACCACGAGGACCCTGGGGAGGGGACAGGACACGTTTAGGACACGTTTGGGTCACCGGGATGGACACTTCCCCTCCCTGTGCCCCCCCTGCTGCCCACGGTGACGTTCCCAAGGGGTTGAACCCCTCCCGCTCCATTCCCTGCGGGTCCCTGAGCAGGAGCTGGGTCCCCGCTGGTGTCACCCCCGTCGTTGTCCCCCCTTGCCCAGAACCCCCCACGCCCCCTGGCTCCAGCACTCACCATCTGCCCAGGAGCTCCGTTCTCTCCGGGGCTGCCGGGCTCTCCCTGAGGAGGAAGGACACGGTGAGGGACCTGCCCTGCAGGGAGCAGGGGACAGCGGGGACATTGCCAGGCCAGCGGTGACACTGCCACCACTCCTCACCTTGGGGCCAGCAGGTCCAGGCTCACCCTTGGCACCATCCAGACCACTGAAACCCTGGGGGGCAGCAGAGAGAAGGGGTGGGGGGTCAGGAGGGGAGCCTGGGTGGGGTCAGGGGTCCCCTGTCCCCTGAGTGTCACCAGCACGGGAGGGGGACTCACTCTGTGTCCCTTCATGCCTGGCAGGCCGGCGGTTCCGGGGAGACCTCGAGCACCCTGGGGGGAACGGGAGGTGGTGAAGGAGGAGCTGGGGGGGCTGTCCCCACACCACAGCGCCCTGTCCCCGAGGAGGGGACAGCTGGGGGTGTCCCCTCGTGTGTCTCACCTGGGGGCCGGGGGGACCCCGCTCGCCAGGGCGGCCAGGCTTGCCAGCTTCACCCTGAGGACAAGGACACGGCCTTGGTGGCATGTCCCCAAGCCAGGCAGCTCCTGCTCAGCTGGGGGGGCTGGCAGGGCCACCAGGCCCCAAAGGGGGGGGACCCCATGCTCATGTCACTTACGTCATCTCCGTTCTTGCCAGGGGGGCCAGCGGGACCTCGGGGGCCCATGGGACCCTAGGAGAGAGGGGGGGCAGGCATGAGGGGGCGGGGGTGACAGCTGCCCCCTGTCACCCTGCCACCCACCCCGGGCAGTGCCAGGCCCTGCCAGCCCCACTGCCGTGGGTCCCAGAGCAGGGACAGTGTGGCCACAGCCAGGGCTGGCAGCAGCAGTGTCCCCATCCCCGGCAGGTGACAGCACTCACAGAAGCACCAGGCTCTCCAGGTTCACCAGGGGGACCTTGGAAACCTTGGGGACCCTGTGGAGGAAAAATAAAGGGTAAAAAATGAGTCAGAAAGTGAGAAGCTTGGGCCTCAATCCCCCAGAGGCAGTGGTGGTGTCCCCCCGCGTGGTGGCACCAGGGCTTTGTCCTCACGTGCTTCTGTCACTGTCAGGAGGGGTGTGACACCCTCTGACCTGTCCCCCCACCTCCCAGAGGAGCCCTGGGGGCTCTTTGCCCCCAAACAAGTGGACAGGAAGAGGTGACACTCACAGGAGCACCGGGAGGGCCGGGGAGACCACGGGGACCAGCTGGGCCCTGGGGAGAAGAGAAAGTGTCATCAGTGGTGCCTTGTCACCCTGTCCCTGTCCCTGTCCCCATCACCACCCCACTGCTGCACCCACTGGGCCCTGCTGCCACCCCACCACCCTCCCCCTGCTGTCCTCACCTCCTCCCCATCTCTGTCCCAAAGCCACCCCTCCCTGTCACCATTGTCACCCCCTCCCTGTCCCCAACACCAACCTTTGCCTGTCACCATTGCCACCCCACCTCTGCCCCTGTTGCCTGTCCCCATTGTCCCTATTTTATTGTCCCTATTGCCTTGTCCCCATTGTTTTGTCCCCATTGCCTGTCCCCATCGCCAACCCAACACCGTGTCCCCACCTCTGTTCCCACCTGCACCCATTCCTTGTCCCCACTGCCACCCCATCCCTGTCCCCATCACCAACCTGTCCCTGTGCCTTCCCCACTATCCCCTGATGTCCCGTGTGTCCCTGATGTCCCCTGTATCCCCTGATGTCCCTGAAGTCCCTGATGTCCCCTGTATCCCCTGTGTCCCCTGATGTCCCTGTGTCCCCTGTATCCCCTGTATCCCCTGATGTCCCTGATGTCCCTGATGTCCCTGATGTCCCTGATGTCCCTGTGTCCCGTGTCCCGTGTCCCGCTCACCATGGGCCCGGGCACGGCCATGCCTCCAGCCTTCTCGTCGTAGCCGTAGGACATCTGGGGAGCGAAGTTCTGCGGGGAGGGAGAGCGGGGGGTGAGCGGGGCAGGGACCCCCGGGGGGCTGCGCCACCAGGGACCCCCCCACACTCACTCCGCCGAGGCCGGGGGGGCCGGGGGGGCCGGGGGGGCCCGGCAGTCCGGGCTGGCCGGGGATCCCATCTCTGCCGGGGGGGCCGGGCAGTCCCTGCGGAGAGAAGAGGGGGTGAGTGCTGTGGGGTGGGGGAGAGCCCAGCAGGATTGGGGGTGAACCCCAGCAGGGTGGGGGTGACCTCTGTGGGATGGGGGTGAGTTCCCAGCACGATTGGGGTGAGCCCTGTTGGATTGGGGTGAGCACCATGGGATGGGGGTGAGCCCCAGCAGGATTGGGGTGAGTCCTGTGGGATGGGGGTGAGCCCCAGCACAATTAGGGTGAGACCCGTGAGATTGGGATGAGCCCCAGAGGGATTGGGATGAACCCATCAGGGGATTGGGGTGAGCCCCAGAGGGGTTAGGGGTGAGCCCAGCAGGATTGGGGTGAGCCCCAGAGGGATTGGGATGAACCCATCAGGGGATTGGGGTGAGCCCCAGAGGGATTGAGATGAGCCCAGCAGGATTGGGGTGAGCCCCAGAGGGGTTAGGGGTGAGCCCAGCAGGATTGGGGGTGAGCCCAGAAAGATGTGGGTGACCCCCAGCAGGATTGGGGTGACCCCAGCGGGATTGGGGTGAGCCCAGCAGGATTGGGGTGAGCCCCTGTGGGATTGGGGGTCCCTGCAGAGCAGGGGGCTCTCGGGGGGGGCACACCCACCCTGTCTCCTTTGGGGCCGGTGTCTCCTTTAGGACCCTGCGGGGCAGAGACAGAACACGTTAGAAAAGGGGGGGGTCCAAACACAGGGCTGGGATTTGCGGGGGCTGCGTTTGGGGGGGCCCTTACCTCCACTCCAGCGCTCTCTGGGTAGGCAGGGGAGGCTGTGGGGGCAAAAAGGGGGTTCAGAGCAGCGCAGCATCACCCACCCCACACCAGGCACCCGGCTGGGGGGGGACACCGAGCCCGCCGGTCCACCGGGAGGGGGTGGGGGGGGCGGGACCCCGCAGCGGGGATGTCGCGGTACCGTCGGTGTCGGGACAGATGGGGCAGCACTCTCCGAAGGGGATCTCGGCGTTGGGGCAGTCGGAGGTGTCCTCGCAGATCACCTCGTCGCACAGGATGTTGCCGCTGTCGCAGACGCAGATCTGGCACGGTTCTGGTTTCCACACGTCCTTGTCGTTGTACGTGAGCCCATCCTGGACGCAGCTCCCGGTTTGGACTGGCACGGCACGGGCGGCAGCGTCAGGAGGGGCGGCCCGGAGCCGGCCGGGCTCCCCCCGCTCCCCTCACCCCCTCCCCGCTCCCGCAGCGCTTCTCCCTTCATCTGGTTCTCATCAGCGCGGCGCGGTGACACAGGAAAAGCTCCACAATAAACTCTTCCCACATCGGCTGGAATTTAAACAAAAAAAAATCCCCGCAGCCGCTCGCTCGGACCGGCCGGGGCCAAGGCAAACACCCCCCGAGGCACGGGGGGGTCCCCGGGAGCCGGGGGGGCACGGACGGGACGGGAGCGGTCGGGACGGGGCGGGCGGGCCCCGAATCTGGGCTGAAATTGGATCCGTGGGGCTGGATCGGGCCAGACGGGATCGGGAGCGCCAGGCCGGAGAGTGGAGGCGGGCGGGGGCTGCTGGAGAGGGAGGGGAGGGCAGGGCAGGGCGAGCGGCCAGGCCCGGGGGCCGCCCCACGGTGGGGAAGGGTCCCGCAGTGGGGAGGGGGAGAGGGGCCGCGCCAGCTGCTGGGAGAACCCCTCAGTCAAAAAATAAAACGAAGTGAAAAGGGGGGAAAAAATGGTAAAGAAAAAAAAAAAGTAAAAAAAAAAAAGTTAAAAAAAAGGCAAATGGAAAATGCAAAATTCTTCTGGGGGAAAAAAAAGAAAAGGCAAAATGGGGATGGGAAGGGCAAAATGTAGAATGGGAAATGCAGGACGGAGAATGGGGAATGGGAAATGGAGAAGGGGAAATGCAGGATGGGCATTGTCAGTGCCAAATGCATCACAATAATAATAGTAATAATAAATAATAATAATAATTAAAAATGTATTTAAGGAAAAACATCCCAAGGACGGAGAATGGGGAATGGGAAATGGAGAAGGGGAAATGCAGGATGGGCATTGTCAGTGCCAAATGCATAATAATAATAATAATAGTAATAAATAATAATAATAATAATAATAAATGTATTTAAGGAAAAACATCCCCAAAAATACCAAAAAAGGACAAAATTGGGCAAAAAGCGATGGGCGCCGGGCCCAGGTCCCCCCGTGTCCCCCTGGCGCAGGTGGCAGCGGGGCACGGGGGCCGTGGCGTGGCACGGGGGGTGACCCCAGCCGTGCCCCCCGGCCCGCGCCGCTGGCAGCCCCCGCTCCCCCGGCTGCCGAAACATTTCGCTTATGAATCATCCGAGACTTTTCTAATTCTTTCCTGATGGCTTTCGCAGATCGCGGGGCTGGGCCCCCCCCTCTCCCTCCTCTCCCCCCTCTTCTCTCTCCCGCGCTCTTTCCCCCCTTTCCTTTCCCTTCCCGGCCTCCTCCTCCTCCTCCTCCCCTTCGTCCCGGCTCCCTCCTTCCCCGCCGGCTCCTCTCCACCCTTCCTTCCCTCCCCGCTCTTGGCAGGGCGCCCCGACTCCTCACCCCCAGAGCCCCCTGACCCCCTTTTCCCCCAGCCCCAAATCCCGCCAGTCCTCTTCTCTTTTTTACGCAATTTTCCCCTCATTTCCCCACTTCGCCCCTAATTCCCCTCTCGGTTCCGCTCGCCCAGCCCGAGTTCCTCCTCGCCCAGCCCAGGGCAGCCGGGCCGGGCATCGCCGGTGCCACGGGAGCCGGTGCCAGCCCGAGCCGCGTCCCGTGGGGTGAGGAGCATCACCCAGCGCCCACTACTCACTGTCTTCCTCTCCTTGCCCGCGGGCGAGTAGGACAGTCGCTGCTATCAACAGCAGGGACCGAGAATCCACAAAGCTGAACATGTCTAAATATTAGACATGTAGACTCTTTGGGGTCTCTTTTGTTCTTAGCTTGGGGTCATACGGGGCCGATCCAACCCTGGAGCTCCAAATCCAGACCCCAGCAGAAACTTCCTACTGCCCTTTGCCCGCTTCTCCCGCGGCCCCTTTATACCGTGCGCCGCCGCGGGGAGGAGGGACCCGGCCCGAGCAGCGGATTTTGGGCGGCCCCCTCGGCCAATCAGAGGCACCCAGCGAGTCTGGGGGCACCCCCCGGCCCCCCCCAATCCCCCCCCCGGGCCGTGTGGCCGTGCACACGCAAACACGGGCGAGCACACGCACACACGGGCGAGCACACGCGTGTGCTGCGCGGCTGGCAGTGGGCTCGGGGGGGGTTTGGGGTGCGGGTTTTTGCGGGGGTTGGGATTTTGGGGGGGGTTCTCGGCGGGGCTGGCTGGGTGGGGACAGGCGATGTGGCACGTGGCGCTTCGGGGACCCCGGTGCCACGCGACGCCGGGGGCTGCACCAGGGCACTGCCAACACACCCCAACAGTCACCCCGCAGCTGGGGCACCCCAAAACACACCCAGGGCTCCCATCGGGGACCCCCCTGAAGGACCAAACCCCGGCACGGTGCAAGGCCGAGGCCAGCAGTCCCCAGAGCATCCCTTGGACCGTCCCCAAGAGCATCCCCTGAGGGACCCCAACCCCGAAGCCCCTCCAAGAAGCACAGACACCCCAAACCCCTCCCCCAAACCCACTCATTTGTGTTTTTAGCCCTTTCTTTCCCTCTTTCCCCTTCCTTCCCCTCGCCGCGCTCGCTCCCCTCGCTCCCCCCCTGGCACGGCTCCACGGCCGTTTCCACATTTGAAGGAGCCACGTTGGTTGGAAAAAGCAAAAGCTCCTGGACAATGATCCACAACCTACCGTGCAATTTGGGGAGGGTGTAATTACAGCCAAAAAAATCCCCGCCTGTGCCGGGGCCGGGAGCGCAGCGGAGCGGGCGGGACACGGCCAATGTGGCACCGGGGGAGGGGGAGCTCCCGCTCGGGATTTGGGGAATGCGCTGGGAAAAGCTGGGCTCGGCCCCGGGCACCCCCAGGCTGTGCTGGGGGGACGTGGGCTCCGGGGTACTGGGGATACTGGGAGCACTGGGAGCGCTCTGTTCGTCCCCACTGTCGCTGTGCAGAGAGCTTGAGGGCTCGGTGGAGTACTGGGAGCACTGGGAGCACTGGAATACTGGGAGCACTGGGAATACTGGGTGTACTGGGAGCATTGGGAATACTGGGAGTACTGGGAGCACTGGGAGCTCTGGGAATACTGGGAGCACTGGGAGCACTGGAAATACGGAGAGTGCCGGGAGCACTGGGAGCACTGGGAACACTGGAGACACTGGGCTCACTCCATTTGTCTCCCTCTCCCCACTACGCTGGGGGTTTGGAATCTCGCTGGAATGCTGGGAATACTGGGGACACTGGGAGTACTGGGAGCACTGGGAACACTGGGAATGCTGGGAACGCTGGGAGCACTGGGAATACTGGGAGCACTGGGAGCTCTGGGAATACTGGGTGTACTGGGATACTGGGAGCATTGGGAATACTGGGAGTACTGGAAGCACTGGGAACACTGGGAATACTGGGGACACTGGGAGTACTGGGAGCACTGGGAACACTGGGAATGCTGGGAACGCTGGGAGCACTGGGAATACTGGGAGCACTGGGAGCACTGGCGACACTGGGCTCACTCCATTTGTCTCCCTCTCCCCACTACGCTGGGGGTTTGGAATCTCACTGGAATGCTGGGAATACTGGGGACACTGGGAGTACTGGGTGCACTGGGAGGACTGAGAATACTGGGAGTACTGGGAGCACTGGGAACACTGGGAATACTGGGAACACTGGGAATACTGGGGACACTGGGAGTACTGGGAGCACTGGGAGCGCTGAGAATACTGGGAATACTGGGAGCACTGGGAGGACTGGGAATGCTGGGCTTGGCCTTCACACCTCCACTTGTCCCCCCTACCAGGGTACAGAAGGCTGGGAGTTCCTCTGGGTTACTGGGAATACTGGGAGCACTGGGAGCTTGTCCCTCCTGCCTCCGCGCCGACGGTTTGCAGCGGGATCGGAATTCCGGGAATTCTGGGAGAGCCTGCCCTCCCAGCATGGTGTGAGGCTGGGAGCACTGGGAATACTGGGAATATTGGGAATATTGGGAGTACTAGGGGCACTGGGAGGCACTGGGAGTACTGGGAACACTGGGAATACTGGGAGCACTGGTAACACTGGGAATATTGGGAATACTGGGAATATTGGGAGTACTAGGGGCACTGGGAGGCACTGGGAGTACTGGGAACACTGGGAATACTGGGAGCACTCTGCTAGTCCCTCCTGTCACTGTGCTGCCCACTTAGAGACTCGGTGGAATTCTGGGATCACTGGGAATACTGGGAATACTGGGAATACTGGGAGTACTGGGAGTGCTGAGAACACTGGGATCACTGGGATTACTGGGAGCACTGGGGGCACTGGGAATATGGGGATCACTGGGAGCACTGGGAGCACTGGGAGCATTGCAGAGTGACCCCACATCAGAGCAGGATCTCCCACCAGGACGTTCCCTGTTCTTCCTTCAGAAAAACCCCAAATCCGTGAATTTAACAATGAAATAACGGGGGAGGGGGGGACACAGGACACGTCACCCCCCTCCCCCCACCCCGTTTGGAGATTTTTTTTTCCCTGCCATTAAATTTAAATGTTGAATAAAACACACTGGAGGAGGGGCGGGGTGGGGGTCACCCGTGTGCCCACGCGTGTCCGTGGGGCCGCGCCGGTGTCCCAGCCCTGTCCCCAGCCCTGTCCCCTCATCCAGCCCCAGATCCAGCCCCCAGCCCCAGATCCATTCCCCAGCCCTGGATCCATTCCCCAGCCCCAAATCCAGCCCCAGATCCATTCCCCAGCCCTGGATCCATTCCCAGATCCATTCCCCAGCCCCAGATCCAGCCCCAGATCCATTCCCCAGCCCCAGATCCAGCCCCAGATCCATTCCCCAGCCCCAGATCCAGCCCCAGATCCATTCCCCAGCCCCAGATCCATTCCCCAGCCCTGGATCCATGCATCCAAGACACGTTGCAAGCGAAGCCTCCTCCAATCCTGCCCCGGCGACTCGAAAAGCCCTGGCCGGGCTCCAGGCTGAAGATGTGTCTTTAATTTTTGCAGCATGACAGAAAAGAAAAGAATGTCATCGGCTTGGGTGTTTTTTTTCTTTCCTTTTTATTTTTTTTTATGTATATATGGAGAGGGAGGAGAATTTAAAAAAAAAGGGGGGGGGGAAGGACGAGATGATGCCACCTCATCAACCCCCGGCCGCCCGCCCCAGGAATGCAGGACAAGGGGTTGGGGGCTGGGAAAAGGGAAGAATTCCCACTTTGAATAAGGAAAAAAAATAATAAAGAAGGAGAATATGAGGGAAAAAAAAAAAAGGCTGGAAAAGTCATTAGGATCCTCGGAAGCAGAGTGGGAGATGCCGAGCGCAGGCCTGGGCTCCGGCAGGATTTTGGGGGCACCCACCCGGGACTCCCCCGCTCCTTGGGGGTGTTGGGGATGGGGGTGTCACACTCAGCCCCCCCTCAGCTTTTGGGGGAATCCCGGAGCCTTTCCCGTGTGTTCCAGGCTGGTTTTTACTGGTGCAAACTGGGCGTGTGGCCACAGGGGTCAGGATGGAGGCAGCCACCCCAAAAAGGAGAAGGTCACCCCAAAAACTTGGGGACCACCTCAAAAACTGGGGGATCCTCCCAGAACAATCAGCGCTCCTGCCAAAAACTTGGGGCATGCCCAAAAATGCAGGGGGTTCCCCAAAAGTTTACGGGTACCCCAAAAAGTCGGTGGCTGCCCCAAAAATCCCCCGGGCCAGGGGTTGCCCCGAGGGTGGGGGGAGCGAGGATGAAGGGGGGCAGCCCCCCACCCATTTTGGGAGTGAAGCGGCTAAAAAGGGGGTGCGGGGGGTTCGGGGGAGGGCGGGGGTTTGTTTGCCGAGGAGCTGGAGCAGACAGCGGCATCTGGAGCCGGTTAGCTCCCCCCGGCAGCCCAGACACATGGATCCGATTAATTCCCTTCTCTCTCCCCCCACCCCTTCCCTCGGCAGCCCCGGGAGCCGCTCCCGAGCCCGGGGTCCCCCCCTCTCATCGCCCCCTCCTCATTCCGCACCCACAGGACCCTCCCTTGGTGGCCGTGTCCCCCTCTTGGTGGCCGTGTCCCCCCCTTGGTGGCCGTGTCCCCCCCTTGGTGGCCGCCCGGCGGTGGCGAGGGCGGTGTCCCGCCAGGTGGTGACACGCAGGTGTCCGCCCCCCCCCCCGCCGATGTCCCCAAGGCAGCGCGGTGTCCCCCCGCCCCCAGACCCACCCCGCCACCACCAAAACCCCCTCGGATGGGGGGGGGTTCCCCCATACCCCCCCTGCTCAAACCCGACCCCCCCACACTTGTCACCCTCCCGTGGGGACGTGGTGGGCGACGCGGTGCCTCAGTTTCCCCCGCGGCGGCCGCAGCCCGGCACCGCCCCGGCTATTCCTGGTGGCCTCCGGCCCTCGGCGCCCTCAATTGTGGCGTCAGGGCAGAACCCCGTAATCACGGCCGCGACTCCCCGGCTATTTCCAGGGAAAATTGCTTAAATTGGCCTCCGGGATGCCAACGCCGCGCCGCCCTCGGCGGGGGCACGGCCGGCCCGGGGGGGGCTGCCACGGGGTGGTCGTGTGCCCACCGGGGACCCCCGGCTTGAGGAGGGGGCTTGTCCTGCTCGGGGGGTCCCTCCACGCAGGATGGGTCCGGCTGGGGTGTGACCCCTCTCAGGGGCTGGGGACCCTTCCGGGGGGCTCATTTCACCCCCTGCACCCCCACGGGCGGGGCTGGGGTCACTCCCCATCTGCACCCCCTCATCCATGGCTGGACCCTCTTGGGGGGCTCCTTTCCTCCATCTCTTCTGGGGGGCTCATTTCACCCCCTGCACCCCCACGTTCCCCCCACAGGCGGGGCTGGGGGTCACTCCCCATCTGCACCCCCTCACCCAGGGCTGGACCCTCCTGGGGGGCTCCTTCCCCCATCTGCACCCCCTCATCCAGGCTGGGACCCTCTTGGGGGGCTCATCC